GGATCTTTTTCTGATCTTCCGGAGGACCTTAGGACCATGTTACCCTATTGACCTTTTGACCACTTGCGTAATCCCATTTTCAAGTGCGAACTTTGTTATCTTCACCTTTGCTCCAGCCAAAAATGTTGGTTTGTTATTGTTATCTTCTCTTTCGGACCATCAATACTCGTGCATATAGAATGGACTATGCGAGATCAAGTCTCCCCCATTTTTTTTCTAAATGCAATTGAAGGCATCTCCCAGCTAAACACACTTTTGAGAATTCATGTATTGTGTTACCAGCACTAAATTAAAGTTCGGAAGTCTCACTGAGGTTTTCCGTGTTGGCACAACCATGCCAGCAACGAATAAAGTTAATGATTTGATTTACTATACTTGATACAAAGTAGCTTAAATAAAGTTTTAGTTACTACTCGTATCTTCCAGACAACAGACGTTGTAGCATTACTCTCTCGCTGCACATAATCCTCCGACAGGTTATGGGTCTGTGCGTGATAGAGAGTGTAAGAACAAAAGAAAATTTGTTTTGCCATTTTTTTCTTTCGCGAAAATTGTTCGGTTTTTCGCAAAGTTTCGAAAGTTTTCGCGTGGAAATGGATGGCAATCGGTTCAACATTCAACAATTGAACGATTTCAATTATCCCACCTGGAAATTTAGCGTGGAATTGCTCCTCACTCGAGAGGATTTGTGGCTGTGCGTCGACCCCGGCGTCAAGAAGCAAGTGGAAACCGACGACGCCTGGAACGCGTTGGACTCCAAGGCTCGGTCCACCATCGGCCTCCTGATCTCGGATAACCAATACGGCAGCATGGAACGAGATAAAGAAGCACCACGAAACAGCAACCCTAACCTCAAAAGTTTCGCTTCTGAAGCAGATCTGCGATAAACGTTTCGCGGATGGTGAAAATATGGCGGAGCACCTCTTTGCCATAGAGGATTTGTTCGAGAGGCTGAAGAATGCGGGACAGGAATTGGAGACAAATTTTTAGGTCGCGATGGTCTTGAGAAGTCTGCCGAGTTCCTACGACACGCTGACGACCACCCTTTGGAGCCGGTCTGACACCGACCTCACCCTCGAACTTGTCAAACGGAAGCTGCTGGACGAGGCCGTAAAGCATCAAGGATCATCCGGAGATTTGGTGCTGAAAGTCGGAACTGTGCACGGTCGGAACAACTAGAAGGAACCTCTAATTTGCCACTGGTGCAAAAAGGAGGGCCATAAGCAGTTTGAGTGCCCGCAGCGCGGTCGTGATTCGGACGGTGACCCGAAGCAGAAAGGAAAACAACAGAAGAAAAAGGAAGATTGTGTTTCGTTCGCGTTCGTCGCCGGCACTCGTGAAAGTACTAACGGTTCAAAGCCGTGGGTAGTGGACTCGGGTGCGACGAGCCACACAGTTGCCGATCGGAGTTTTTTCATTGAATTGAATTGAAAAGTTGTGACATTAAATCTGTGACGCTTGCCGACGGAAAATTCGCGAAAGTGGAAGGCCAGGGGTGTAGCACGATTGACTGTTGTGATGAAAATGGACTACCAAGAAAAATGAACATAAGTGTCACGCTTTACACACCCGGTCTTGCCATGAACTTGTTGTCGGTGCCGGCAATAGTGGAGAAGAACGCCGAAGTGATTTTTGATGCCCGTGGGTGTCGAATCTTGCGTGACGGGACGACGGTGACCGCGGCAACGTTGAAGCGTGGGCTGTACCAGCTGAATCAACCGAAGAAGGTCGTGTTGTCGGCGAGCAACAGACAGTTCGGGCACAGGGACCCGACCACGATTATCCAGATGAAGAAGGAAGACTTGGTAAGCGGTTTGAAAGTGTTTGAGTGCGGCATCGAAGAGCCATGTGATTGTTGCCTGAAAGGGAAGAGCTCCCGCGCTCCGTTCCCGAAGGAGTCATCATCAAGCACGAAAGCGACGATGGACCTGGTGCACACCGACGTGTGCGGCCCGGTCGAAGTGCCATCCGTCAGCAGGTACCGTTACTTCATGACTGTGATCAACGATCACTCCCGCTACTGCGTGCTGTACCTTCTGAAACACAAGTCAGAGGTGGCAGCCAAAATCCGGGAGTACGTGGCGCTAGTGCAGGACCGCTTCGGCTGGAAGCTGAAAATTATTCGCTCGGATCAAGGCGGAGAATATACCGGAGAAACGCTACGTGATTTCTACAGAAAGGAGGGAATACAGCCGCAGTTTACGGCAGGCTACAGCCCGCAGCAAAACGGAGTAGCGGAACGTAAGAACCGCTACCTCGTGGAGATGGTTCGATGCATTTTGTTTGAATCCAATCTGCCACAGTGCTATTGGGTGGAGGCATTGAACACTTCTGCGTATCTCCAGAACATACTCCCGACGAAGGCCGTCAAGTCATCACCGTTTGAACTTTGGCACGGAACCAAACCGGACGTGGAGAACCTGAAAGTATTCGGGTGCAGTGCGTGGGTTCACGTTCCGAACGAAAAATGGAAGAAACTCACGACCACTGCGAAGGAGCTCGTCTTCGTAAGGTCCTCACTAGAGCACAAAGCCTACAGGTTCCTGGACAAATCTACGCGGAAAGTGATAGTGAGCCGTGACGTCAGGTTCATCGAAAGTGCTACGGAAGTGCCTGCCGAGGTTGGTCATAAGAAGAAGAAGAAGCCAATCGTGAAGCCAGCCCCTGTCTGCAGCCAGGAGGAGATAATAGTGTTTGACTCGGTACTGAAGAAAATCGAGCCCGTTGCCGAATCCGTAGCGGAAGAAGATGAAGATGACGAGTTTGGTACTGCGGAGTCCGAAGCAGATTTTGATGGTTTCAGTGACGTCGATCCTGTGCGCGGTATTGAAGAAGCCAACGATCAGGATGACCACGAACGCGAACCCAAAAGATCCGAACGGGCCAATAAAGGTATCCCGCCGGAACGGTGCGACGAGATGACCAGCGTGACGAAGCATTTTGTGAATAAACCACGAACGTACGAGGAAGCGGTCCAACGCCCCGAAAAGGCTGTCTGCCAGGCAGCGATGGAGGAGGAGATCGCCGAGAATCAGACCTGGGAACTGGTGCAACTGCCTTTATGCCGACCTCGAAGAAGATATCTTTATGAAGCAGCCCCCAGGATTCCAATCGGACGGCAATTTGGTGTGCCACTTGAAGCGTTGCCTCTACGGCTTGAAACAGTCGGCGAGAGTTTGGAATTCGAAAATCGACGGCATCTTCAAGCAGATGGGTTTCGAGCCTGGCAAGGCGGACTCGTGCCTTTACGTGAAAAAGAACAAGGACGGGAAAAGGTGCTTCATCGTGATTTACGTGGACGATATGGTCGTCTTCGGCCACTCGGAAAAGGAGTTCGAGCAAATTCGGACCACCCTGGAGAAACATTTCAAGCTGTATTCTCTGGGAGATCTGCGTCAATTTCTCGGAATCCACATCGAAAAGGTCGACGGGCACTACACCATGAACCAAGGAAACTACATCGAGAAGCTGCTCGGAAGGTTCGGACATGGGAACGCTAAGCCGTCGAAGATACCGCTTGACCCAGGCTATATAAAACAAACGGAGGAGACAGCCCTGCTAACGAACACGTCCTATCGTTCGCTGGTGGGCAGTTTGTTATATGTCGCGGTCCATACCAGGCCGGAAATCAGCATCGGGACTTCGCTACTGTGCAGGAAGGTGTCAAATCCGACAGATCGTGACTAGACAGAAGCTAAACGTACGCTGAGGTACCTCAAGGGGACCAAGAACTTCCGTCTGCACCTGGGTGGCGGAGCCGAAGGTCTCGCGTGCTTCGTCGATGCAGATTGGGCCGGAAATGAAGGCGATCGGAAGTCGAATTCCGGTCAGGTCATCAAGTTCGGCGGTGGCGTAGTGAGCTGGGCCACGCGGAAGCAAAATTGCGTTGCCCTGTCGTCCACTGAGTTTGTGGCCCTATCCGAAGGCTGCTAGGAATTACTATGGATGAAGAAGCTTCTCAAGGATCTTGCAGAGGACAGCTCGGACCCCATACTCGTGTGGGAGGACAATCAGTCCTGTATAAAAATGGTAGAGTCGGACCGCATGGAGAGCCGGTCCAAACACATCGATACAAAACACGAGTTCACGAAGGATCTACGCCAACGGGGAGTCATTGATCTCCGTTATCTACCAACGGATCAAATGGTTGTGGACATCATGACCAAGCCACTGGACAGGATCAAGCTGGAGCGGCACCGTGAGTCATTCGGTGTCATGTAAACTTCTATGCGTTGAGGAGGAGTGTTGGCACAACCATGCCAGCAACGAATGAAGTTGATGATTTGAATTACTAGATTTGATACAGTGTAGCTTACAGCACACGACCCTATGTAACTGACAGTAAAAATAAAGTTTTAGTTCCTACTCGTTTCTTCCAGACAACAGACGTTGTAGCATTACTCTCTTGTAGCAATGATTCCAGTCGCGTCGGAAGTCAATTTATCAGCGATATACAAACCTAGAGCCACATGTGAAAAGGGCATACAAGCTTTTTGTAAACAAACCTTTGTAGGCCCTTTTCCGTCAAACCAACGACATCATCGACAAGGGGAAAATTTCTCCTACTGGTTTGCGTGAGTATCATATAAGTAGCGAGAAAAGGGCATAAGAAAGTTTGTTTACAGAAAGCTTGTATGCCCTTTTCACATGTGGCTTTTGATTTGTATATCGCTGATAAATTGACTTCCGACGCGACACAAGTAAAGTTCAGAAATTTTTGCTGTGTAGTAGACATAATTAAGCAATGTCTTTTGCACGACGGTTTTAACAATGACCCCCCCCCCCTCCCCTATCTAAGGGGTATCCAGACCTCGTCCTGAAAATGAAGAGCGTGTGTTCGATTTCAATTCTGCTCGAAGGAAAAAAAAACTATGTAAACTGATTTTCAAAAACAATTTTATTTAACAATATTCAACAGGATCATTCCAAGCATCAAACAATGTAGTTCCATTTGCGCTAAACTAGACTAGAGATTGAAGGATTCGTATCCAAAGAAGTTTCTACTGCTTGGATTCACGTTTGTGATAGGTGGAAATGTGGTGGTGTTGTTCTTCGTGCTGGTATTGTTGTTCCTGATTGTGGTGTTGTTGTTCTTCATGCTGGTGAGGTTGGTATTGGTGTTGCTGATTGTGATGCTGTTGGTGTTGACGGAAGGCCTGGACGTTGTGATCATCATGGTCATCATCGTGATGGCGCTGATCCTCGTAATGGTGATGATGATGATGATGATGATGGGCATCTTGATGCTGTTCTTCGTTATCGTCGTGTTCATCCTTGTGCTGAACCAATTGTTCAGAAACCGGAAGAGACGAATGCTGTATCTGGTAATGCTGTTCTTCACCTTGGTGGAGGTTATGCTCATTGTGGTGATCATTATGAGCAGGTTCAGAAGTATATCCAGTCAACTTCAGTGCAGCTGAATTTTGCTGAACATGTTCGTGACTGTCTTGATTCTTTTGGTAATCATGATGATGATGATGGTGCTTTTCAAGCAGCACTGGTTTCTCAATAATAACAGCGTATGGTTTTGAAACTTCAACTTTGTGGACATGCGTGACTGGAACCTCCTTCTCAACTTCTACGCGCACTGGACGATCAACGTGTTTGACGACCTGCTTCTCGATGTACACCGGAAATGGTTTCGAGACATGGACCGCGTATGGTTTCGGCACTTCCACATGGACTTTGTGGACTACTGGAACCTTGACTTCCACGGGGTATGGGACGTAGCGATTGACATGGACTGGAACCTTCTTTTCAACGAAGACTGAAACTTTCTTTTCCACTTCGACGGGATATGGCACTGGACGATCAACATGAACCTTCTTTTCTACGTAGATTGGGACTTTCTTCTCGACCTCAACTGGATACGGAACCTTGACTGGGTATGGAACTGGACGATCCACATGCACTGGAACCTTCTTCTCAATGTAGACTGGAACCTTGCGCTCAACTTCAACACGGTATGGCACTGGGCGGTCCACATGGACAGGAACCTTCTTTTCGGTGATGGTGTGCTTCTCAACTTCAACCTTGTAAGGAACTAGTACCTTCTTGGTGATGATGGTATGCTTATCGTCTCTCCAGTCATAGGCAATGTGTTGGTGAGCCTGATTATTATAGTGATTCAAATATTCAAATCTTGCCGGAGCTCCGTATCTATAAGACGGCTGGAATCCACTTAACATTTCAGGATGATGAGAAAATCCATGACCATAATCACTGAGACCACGTTTCGCTTGCACTTTAGTTTCATCGTTGGCTTCTACTTCTTTGTCGGTATCCACTTCCTTGGTCGGGTTTTCGATCGCTGCTCCCAAGACAATGGCCAAAGCCATTGATAAAACAACAAATTTCTATGGGAATAACAGAAAGGAAAGCAAATAATTAATACACTGAACAATCACAATCACTTCTTCTGATCACACGTACCTTCATATTAGTCTCGGTTGTACCAATCTTCTGCACTACCAAATCCGGTGAACGATCACAAACGAATGATGCTCTACCCCATCAGCAGCAAACCATTTATACTGTACCAATTTCTTCATCGGGATCTTTTTGCCAAAAGCACGATTTCCGCTCGCATTAAACTGGATGATATCAACCGTATCGTAATAGGCTTAGGAGAGAAGCGCGATCAAAAACGACCGAAAATAAACCACGTTACATGTGCCAGCTAGCAGAGCCTTGCCTTGTAAACAGGCGTCATTTTGGAACACACTTTTGAAAAGTATCTTTTTAGGGAATTAAAGTGAAATTTAATAAAATGCTTAAACAATGCATTTATTTTACCCACCATGATCATTTGACCTTCTGTTACTTTGATTTTGTGTGGAATTGTCCTTATTGTATTTTGAAAACACTGATCGTCAATGGACATACTGAGCCGTAGAACAGCTATCATGGTTCTTTGCCTCGATATCGACTAGCACGGTAATTAAGGAAAGTTTTGTTACACAGCAAAACATTATGAATAAACATCCATGCATGCAAGCCATGCATGTAAACTTGTTTTTCACGCAAACTAGCAACTTGCAAAAAATGTTGCTTGCAAAGATGAACGGTTGCATTTAATATTTGGAATATTTCATATATATTTCATTTTACATTTTTTTCACGATCTATAATGTAATCTGGATTGATATTTATATGCATCATAGTGAAAAAAAAATTACACTACTTTTTCAAACTGCGTAATTTAACATATACAAACATGGTCCCTTGGGACCTCAGATAGCCGTGTCAGTATTACCAAGCCAGAAATGTATGCATTGGTTGGCATGGAAACTCTCCATTAATAACTGTGGAGGCTTTAAAAAAACACTAAGTAGCAGACAAACGTTCCTATAAGGGCATCATACCAAGGAGATAAATAAAGTAAGAGCCCCGCTTTCCTGAAAGGTTGATAATTGCATAGGTAGCTGATTATCTGATAACGGCTTCATAACTATCCGGAAAGATTAAGAAACATATGTTATAGGACTTAAAGCTTTTAAGGGCAGAGCACAAGCATATTAAAGATATTGGAAACGTGTTGCTTAAAATTGGACCCACACTGCAGAGTAATCATTTGAACGATTTTTGTGGGCATTGCAAGATTGCTCAATAAAATCTGTTATATGACCAGTTCACTAACGTCTCTCTTTTATCGCACAGTAGTTCACTTGGTCAAGGACTATTGATTGGTGGACAAAAATTCATAAGTATCTCACGACTTGGCGCTTGTGTGCAAGTTAATTTCATGAATATGCTATATCTTGAGATCCAGGCCATATAGAAGGTAACAGGCTTCGGAATTTTTTTTCGGTTGTTCAAGGACTTCAGAATGATGGACAGAAGTTCAGAATTTTCTGACTACGTGGCACTAGTGTGCAAGTGAGTTTCCTAAATATGCTATATTTAAGGATCCAGGCCATATAGAATCTTACACTCTTCGACACAGTTGTTCAGTAGGCCAAGGACTTTTGTTTCGTGGACAGAAGTTCAGTTTTTTCTCACTACGTGGCGCAAGTGTGCATCTGGATTTCCTGAATATGCTACATCTTTGGATCCTGGCCATATAGAAGCTTTCTGTGTTCGGAAAATTTGTTAAGTTGATCAAAAACCTTCTATTTGCCGAAAATTCCAAGATATAGCTTATTCAGGAAATTAACTTGCACACTAGCACTTCGTAATGAGAACATTCTGAACTTCTGTCCACTAGCGAAAAGTTCTTGAACTACTAAGAAAATTTGCTCATGATTGTAACCTGCTATATGGTTAAGATCCCAAGGTATAGTATAATCAGAAAATTCTCTTGTTTACTAGCGATGTGTAGTGAAAAAACTCTGAACTTCTGTTCACCAACTGAAGGTCCCGAACCCATTGAACAACGGAAGACAGAAACCTTTTATGTGGCCAGGATCTCAAGATATAGGGTAAGCGAGCCAGTTTTTGTCCCAAGAGGTTTCTTATTCGACCCTATATTAATTTTCATAATTTTTCATTCTTTACTAAATGTTTATCCATGCAAGGTTAGAACATAGCTTTTGGCATAAATTTACACGAATAAAACCTGAACATTTATTTAAAATTTTAGTAAGGGCCAAGGTCCAAAAACTGGAGTACTAGTGCCACGCGCTATGTCTGATGGCACTTTTTTTGCAACTTTTGTGTACCTCATTTTTTTTTCTTTTTATGAAGTTAGTATTGATCCCAACTATCAAATCTGTTCAGGATTTAAAATATTTTATCTTGGTTTTTTTGAGAAAAAATAGTTTACATAGGACTACACACTTAGAAAAATCCATGTTAATTTAGGTGCTCTGGGAGTAACATATACGAGCGTCAATTTTGACATAAATTTCAGTCATTACAAACGTGAAATATAGCTTAATCAAACGTTTTTTTCGTTGAGCAACGAACTTTTCAGTCTCGGAGCATTTTTTTTTTTAAATCTTTATTTAAGAGATTTTTAGCCATAGGCTAATTCAGCTCTAGTCTCGGAGCATTTAATATTGTATTTTTGCTCCAAATTACAAACAAACCTTGGTCTAAGTTTCAGATAAACATCTGTGTCTGAATCTGATAATAGTAGCTATGTGTCTGAACTAATTTCAAAACTCCTGCATGCATCTCAATGAAACTTAATTTCCTATATGCAAGACTTGCAACAGCAAGTTGATTGTCCAGGTCAGAGGTGGTCTTTAGCTGGTAAGGACACTTGATCTCTACACAAGTTTTTCTGCAACATGTACAATTGATCATTAGGTCCGGCGATGCACCAATATATGGCTTTTCCTTACACAAAAAAATGCCAATCTTTAACTGACGCATTTTCGTGACACTTATACAGTGCTTTAACGTAGTCTATACCACGAGGCTCTTGTTTTCTGCCATACAGTATTGCCGGTGTTTCAATATATCGTAAGTAGGGATAGCAATTTTTTTTAGCAGTGAAAGTTTTGGGGGAGGAGTATCAACAGATGCATTTACTGCCTCTTTCATAACGGAAGCAGTCATTTGATCAACAAAATGACTCGGGATCAAAACCAGACCACTCCAAACGACCCTTGACTGAATCGCTTATGTACTTTGAACATTATTCGATTTTGTCAATAAACAATACCAACATCATTCATGTTTAATGTTTATTACGTTCCGATTCAAATTGTACGAATCTCAAAGAGCGCTTGCAGTTTCCTCTTCGTCGATATCACTGTTCTCGCCATTGTCATCTGTAATGGCCAAAAGCATCCCCGGAGCACACCTCACTTTTGTTTTTCGGTAGTTCCCTCATGTTGGAAATTAACGGCACTTTCTTGCGACTCTTGGCCTGAGAGTATCCAGTTCCGTGAGTTCGAAGATTCACGAAGCTTGAAAATCACTCAATTGACGAATGCTGCCCCTATGGAGTGACAGCTTACACTTCCAGAAATTCAACCGAGACGCACCGTAGAAAGCCTGATGGAAGCTCCCAATCGCCCCAACCCAGTCTGGCATATCGCAGCCTCCGTTCATCACAGCCGTCTCGGTGCTGTAGTTGGTGGTGGAAAGGGAGTCTTCCACCATGCTTGCACACGCAAGTACTGTTTTGATTCGAGCTTTTCGTTGCGTGACGAGTTTTCCCGCACCCAGGTTATCATTAGCTGTCCGGACCATGATGAAATGAATCCTGTTGCTGCTGCACTTCGGACAAATAGACGCATCGCAGGAACGAACGATGAGTATTTTCAACCGGGACGCACCGTAGAAAGCACTTGGGAAGTCCTCGGTTCTTCTAACTCAGTCGTGCCGATTCCTGCCAGCGTACATCAATGTCGTCCCGGCCCTGAGCTTAGATGTGGATCGGGGGTCTTCCAACTTGCTATGTCAGGCAAGTACACATATTATTCTGAATATTCGCTGCCTGATGCCGAGTTGAATTTCAGCACCCTGGATGTCACCGATCGAGGAAATGCTTCTACTCCTGTTAATTGGAACCTGGGACGCGCTGTAGAAAGCATTGTGGAAGCCCCCAATCCCTCTGACCCAGTCCTGCCATCTGCCGCCTCCGATCTTCATAGTCGTTCCGGGCCTGTGGTTGGATGTGGAGAGGGGGTCTTCCAACCTACTCACTACGGCGAGTATCCACTTGAGATTGTTCATGTCCATTCGCCACCTGATGTTTCCATGACTTCCAGGGGAAATTTCCTTACCTCATGCGACCACCGACCGTAGTAAACACGACGTCATTTTCTACTACCAAAATGTAGGCGGAATGAATTCTGATGTTCTTGACTACCACCTAGCTGTATCGGACCGGTGCTACGATGTCATCGTTTTTGTCGAGACTTGGCTCGATTCTCGAACGCTTTCCATCCAGGTGTTCGAATCCGAATACGAGGTTTTCCGCTGTGACAGAAATCCGAAAAACAGTCGGAAATCTACTGGAGGTGGTGTTCTCGTGGCAGTTCGTTCCAGGTTAAAGGCGAGAGCTATTGAAAACGTCTTGTGGAACTGTGTGGAACAAGTTTGGGTGGCCATAGAACTGAGCGATCGCACACTGTACCTATGTGCGGTGTATATTGTACCTGACTGGGTTCGTGACAACGAACTTATCGATACCCATTGCCGGTCCGTTTTCACCATAATGGAGAGTGCGACACCAATTGATGAGATAATCGTTCTGGGTGACTTCAATCTACCCGGCGTTTCCTGGAAACCATCTCACAGCGGCTTTCTCTACCCAGACCCGGTACACTCTGTATTTCATACAGGATCAGTTAGCCTTCTCGACTGCTATAGTACAGCAACACTGCCTTCGATAAGCTAAACCATGCCATCGCGATTGCCAAGTTGCATAGACTTGGGGTCAGCGGCAACCTCTTGCGATGGTTTCGTTCATATCTCAGTGATCGGCAACTGATGGTTGCCATTGGTGACAACCGGTCCATATCTATCTGGCTACATCAGGAATACCTCAAGGAAGTCACCTGGGACCTTTGATTTTCTTACTCTACTTCAATGACGTGAACTTGGTCATCGAAGGCCCACGACTATCGTATGCAGACGATCTTAAAATCTACCTACGAATCCGCTCGATTGATGACTGTCACTTCCTTCAACGTCAGTTCGAAGCCTTTGCCAGCTGGTGTAATTTGTACCGAATGGTGGTTAACCCCACTAAGTGTTCAGTGATCACTTTTACTCGGAAGAAAGAACCAATCACATTTGAATACAAACTTATCGGCACTGTAATCGACCGTGTGAACCATGTGAAAGATCTGGGTGTTATTCTGGATTCTCAACTTACGTACAAGCAGCACATCTCGTACGTTGTCGACAAGGCGTCTAGGACATTGGGATTTATCTTCAGGATAGCAAAGAATTTCTCCGATATCTACTGTTTGAAGTCACTGTAGGGTAAACGCTCCTATAGTTGCGGTACGTTAGAAGCGTTAGGTTCCTATAGTTGTGTATGGAGACTCCATACACAACCATAGGAACCTAACGCTTCTAACGTACCGCAACTATAGGAGCGTTTCCCCTACTGTTCCTTGGTGCGATCCATTCTGGAATATTGTTCTGTGGTCTGGAGTACAAACTACAACAATGGTGCTGAGAGAGTTGAGTCCGTTCAACGCCGTTTTCTTCGATTCGCTCTGTGGAAGCTGCCTTGGAGAGACCCATTTCATCTGCCCAGCTATGAAAGTCGTTGCCAGCTGATTGATCTGGAGCCCCTCCGAACTAGAAGAGACACCTCTAGGGCCCTGTTCATTGCGGACACTTTACAAGGTAGAATTGATTGCAGTGCAATCTTGGGGTAAGTCAACATAAACGTCCAATTCCGTGCGCTACGTAACAACGTTATGCTGAGATTGCCACTTCAGCGCACAAACTATGGCATGAACGGTGCAATAGGTGGGCTACAACGAGTGTTCAATCGAGTCTCGGGCATCTTCGATATCCAAATGCCTCGACAGCTGCTACGAAGATACTTCTCATCGTTCTTTTCTGGCACAGTTAACCGTGAATGATTGTGTGTTTTATTTATGTATTTTATTCTTAGTTTTTATTTTTTGACTTACCTATATAAGTTAATTAAATCATCATTGGGGCTATACACAACCTGTTGATGCAGACAAATAAATGTATAAATATATTAATTAATATTATTTTAGTTAAAAGCTCAGCTTTCCTCGGACAACAAACAGATCGCCAACAAGAAGTCCTTCAACGGAGCTAACATAACCCGATTCAAATTTTTGTAGACTTCTAGGCTCTTCCGGCAGTTGATTTTGGTTTCCGGAAAATGGTGATCGGTGGTTCAGTAAGTACTGCACTACATGGCCGATAGTCACCGTTGATGGAATATTCACCGTGTTAGTCTGAATGCGATATGGGTCCATCGAATTGATTACACTTATTCTCTATGCATATCTCCGCTTAACATCTTCCGGCATTTCGTAAATAAGACCACACTTGGTCCTGGATGAGGAATTTAGCATGCGTATATTCACTGAGCTGAAAAAACACTACGTCCACGTAAACAAAGGCACCAATATCTGTAAAAAAGTAAGGTTAAAAGATTTCGTGATCTGGTCTATAGCTTGAGGTCGGTAGTTTAAGGTTTTTTTAGGCATTTCAGGACGTTGTTAACACTGTTCATGTACAGCAGGACAAGGAATGGTACAATATGGCTGCCGTATGGTACCCCGGACTCAAGTCCCCGGCAAGGTGACAGATAACCTTAGTTTCACGTACCCACTTGCAAATAGTATAGATGTCGCCACACAACATAAACAAAGGGATTGTCCTTCACCGCCTCAATGGCATTTCTCTATGGGAATCCAACTTTTTGTTTCTCCATGTGTGGATGTCAAACAAGCAAGAATGCTATATGATAAGAGCGAATTTATAATTTTCGGGGTGAAATGAAATAATTCAAACAAATTGAAACCGATTGATGGAGGTTCATTTTCTTATATAATCAAATGGCAATAAAAATACTTTGCTGTCTCCTATTTTATTTTCCTCTGCAATATAATCACCCTACAGATTTCTTTTTTTGATCATAGTGGTGCGATAAAGGTTTACCATATGAATAAACAAAAGTTGACTTTCCCGTGTTTCTCTATAGAGATTAGTGAAGTTTAACGCACGCACACTAGTGGGTGCACCGTCGTGTAAAGTTGTTATTTGGCTAACGTAAAAATGTATGAAATTTGATCTGCAAAAATGGGTTTGACAGCAATTTGTTATGTATTTTCCTCGGATATTCACTAACACGTTCTCACATATCGCACCAATACAACCGGACGGTAAAATCTCTATTCTTGTGTTCTTGTGTTTTTTTCTGACATGCAAGACTTCGGAAATTAAACTGAAAATACTCAATAATCACCACAAATATTTCAAAGTTGGAAGATATTATGAACGGCTTAAAAATAGACTCCTAATGAGCATGTAAACAGGATGCAGTAAACAATCATCGCAATATCTTGATAAATCAAATAAGGGTCTCATAAAAAATATTCATAGTGAGCTTGTAAAACGAATTAATTAAAGTGATTATCTTTTGCTACATCCGTCCGTATCATTAACGTTATTTATTTATTTAATTAAATCTTCAACATAATGTTGTACAGATATTTTCTAGGCTAGGTGTCGAATTCTATGTCTGTAAGTAGACTTACTAATGTTAAAATCATATACATCAAACGTTTCATTAAACACACGACAGCACAAAGTCCACGGTTCGTTGAATCCATAGTTGGTCCGATGGGTAGGTTGCCACAGAAGCGTGTAACTACGTAGAACTCTTTGAGGAGCATTGATGTAGATTTGGCTCACAAGAGAGTTGCAATCCACGTCACCGTTAAGCAATCCAAACACGAAGAGTCGCTGAAGTAGTTTCCTCCTTGCTGCCAACATGTCCAGGTCAATCAGCCTGCACCGTTCTTCGTAAGGCGGCAAATTTACCGAATCGTTCCAGGGCAGAACACGTAAAGCATATCTTACGAAGTTTCGCTGAATGGCTTCAATTCTGTTAGCTTGAATAGCGAGAAAGGGTGCCTACACAACAACAGCATACTCTAGAAGACTGCGGACGAGAGCACAGTATAGTGATTTCAGCGCGTAGATGTCCTGGAATGCGTTTGTGTTTCGTTTCAAGAAACCTAATGTGGCGAATGCTTTAGCAGTTATCATGGAGATGTGCTCATTGAATCTGACTTTAGAGTCGATGATAACACCCAAATCCTTAACTGAAGAAACGAAGAGCAAACTACTGAGTCCTAACCTATAGTCATGTCGTAAGGGCTCGCGTGAACGGCTAAAAGATATTGCGCAGCATTTTGGTACATTAACCTGCATACCCTTCAAGGTACACCAGCGCAAAAGGGAATCAATATCCTTCTGGAGTGCGCAACAGTCAAGTCTTGACTTAATTGTACGAAAGATCTTTAAGTCCTCGGCGAACATAAGTTTCGAAGAACACAGTCGACTACACAGATCGTTCAAGAACAGGATGAAAATTAAAGGCTCCAAATGGCTACCTTGGGGAACACCAGAGGGTATCTCGAAACTAGGCGAATTAACACCGTTAATGCTCACATAGGCTGAGCGGTCAGTTAAGTAAGACTATAGCCACTTCGTGGTCCAATTAGGTAATCCCATACACCTCATTTTGTCCACTGCAAGCACATGTGGAACCCTATCGAACGCCTTACTGAAGTCCACGTAGATCGCATCAACTTGTCGTCGTTTTTCAATGGAGCTGATCAGCGAGTTGACAAACACCATTAAGTTGGTTGTTGTAGAGCGTTTCCTCACGAAGCCGTGCTGATGTTCGGTAATTATTGGCCTAACCGCTTGATATACGACCTCATATACGATCTTCTCCAGAGCTTTTGGGAGGCAGCTTAGAATCGAAATTCCGCGATAATTTTCAACGTTGTGGATGTTTCCAGCTTTGTGAATAGGTGTGATGGACGCAACCTTCCACATTGTGGGGAAAACACCACTAACTAGCGAACGATTGAAGATAATCGACACAGGTGAAGCGAGAGATGCACGCTAACCCTCAAGTACCCATTAATGAGTAAAAAAGTACGCATTTCGAAGAAAATGGCTTAACTCATGAAATGAGTAAAACCAACTTTACTCATTAATGAGTATTTGACGAGTACTTCATAAATTGGGTAATTTTGAATCATCGTTCTTTTTCGGTAATGTGTAAAAAGTACCCATTTTTAAGAAAAAATCTTTATAGGGCTCATTATCATCAATCATAACTACGTCAAAATTCAATTTAAAATGGATTAGGTTACTTTATTAAAGAGACTGGCTCGGCCATTGGCTGGTTCGTCTCCGGAGATTCAATTTAAAATCATCAAACAAAACTCAACTTCAAAACATATCGATTTCTTCATTGATAATAAAACATTGTTTATTTAGTGGATGATGAAA